TTAAGAAGGACGACCTGAATATAAATTTTAAATAATCGTAAATTTATTGGCAACATGGTAACAAAAACAACATGATATATAATAACACATCATGATTAAATTATACCACTTCATTAAATCCTATTACAGCCAACAACTGTCCACTTGGGATCCATTCTATATTTTCAATTCCTCTCAGCTCTTTCCCATAATTATACGTTTCAGATGGCTGTGCCGTTTCCAGCGGGGAAAATGCTGTCACGTGTTTCTCCAATATGTTAGAATAAATAATCAACTTTGGTTCGGCAGGAGAGGAACACCATATGCATAATAATTCATCGTTTGGCGACCAGCGAATCCCGTCGATGCTGCGCAAACGATCGCAGATAAGTTTCTGAAATAGTTCATTGATTCATTATTTCGCGCCAATTTAAAATCTAGGGAATTTTATGACTGCTAGAGTTTTTAATGTTAACTTCGTTCTTTTATCGACGGTAGCAAAGTCTATTTTCGAGCAATCGCCAATTGTTGAAATCCTTTATAACTATGTCAAGTTATATTTTTCGCGTTGAAGAATGCGAGAGATGTACAAAAAGCATGGAGAAAAAACTGTTCAATTACGTGCCGTAAACTGTTATTAAGCGCACGATGCATCATTTATACATCCTTGTCGTTCACAGAATATGAAACAAAGATGAAATGATAGTTCTATTCTTGTTGTTGCCATATGTAAAAAAAATGGCTGCCACGTCTGACCGCGTGAACGTTTGAAATCCTTGCATCGATCTACGTTTATCTGCGACCTTCACAACATGACGTGTTACACTGCTTGTTCGTGCAACCGTGTTCCTCATTGCGCTGATTGGGGCATCAATGGGTTACTTTGTTTCGGAACCCGAAATGCAATCGCTATATATGAACCACGTGCGAACATCGGTCATGTAACGCATACATTACACCGGCATCGTGATCATGTCAACACAGTACACTGGATAAAGCCAGGAAACAGTGCACCGGAATCGGAATTGTTATCCGGTTCTGTGGATGGTACTGTGATTATTTGGAGTAAAAATCAAAGTACGTTTCAATGTACCTCGGTGTTGAATGTAGAAGGCACAGTTGTCTTCGCAGATTCTCTCCAAATGACAGATAACATTTCGTCTACTACATTGGCGAAGCTGTTAATATGCACAGGTTCAGTCTGCGGCAATGTCAAACTATGGTTGAGAGAGGAAAATGCGGATGTTAAGCAGATTCAGTCTATAATTTTCGGAAGAAAGTTATCAATATATTGTCGCCTGACATATTTTCTAAATAAATGTCCCCTCTTGGCTTTAGCATTAGAGGATGCTTCTATCTTGCTGTATGCAAAATTTGATGCAGAATCTGACTTGGAACAATCTTTTGTAAATATCCAGCGTTTAGTCGGACATGAAGATTGGGTAATGTGTATGGATTTTATTCAGAATGGTGATGGAAATCTTTTCCTTGCAACAGGGTCAAAAGATAACATGATACGATTATGGAAAATTAGCGAAAAAATTAATGTTGAAGAATTTTCAAACGATGAACTCAGACAAGAAAGCAATACTTTTGTAGTAAATGGTAGGCAGTATGATATTACTCTGGAATCAGTGCTCTGTGGTCATGAAAGCTGGATTTATGGTCTGCACTGGCAGCCTAAAACAGATAGCCATCAAACAATGAAACTGTTATCCTCTTCAATGGATAAAACTATGATAATATGGGAGCCAACTGAGATTATGGATGGAATGTGGACAGAAACAGTACGTGTCGGCGAAGTTGGTGGCAATTCTTTAGGTTTCTATGGCTGTAAATTTGGCCCAGATGGACTACATATATTGGCACATGGTTATCAGGGTACTTTTCATATCTGGAAATATTCTCAAGAAATGAGTAAGTGGCTTCCATGCCCTGCGCCTGGCGGACATTTTGCTGAAGTAGTCGATTTATGTTGGGAACCAAAAGGAAGGTCTGTATAAATCTTAGATGTGGAATGAAAGTCTTATATGTGATTTTAATTCTTGAACATTCAATAATTTGTACATAACAACATAGATGCAACATTTAGAAATTTTGAATTTTATTTTATCATGTTATATATTCTCGAATAAATCTTCATTTTTTTAATTTTAAATTGAATTTTTGTATTTTTTTCTGTATATGTATATTTAATATTTGGAAAAAATATTTCTGAAATTTTTAAACTTACATTTAGAAAAAAATTTAGATTTGTGATCATCTCAATTTTTTTTATACACCTATGTTTTTTGATTCATTATATTTTAATTAGGAGTATGGAAATACGTGAAAATTATATCGAGTATTTTAGATGAGAATAGATAAAGTTTAGAACCAACACAACACAAACAAAACATACACAGAAAAGAATACATATAACATATTATAATACTGTTTACAGATTTCTTATCACAGCCAGTGTTGACCAAACTACAAGAATTCATGCACCATGGAAAGATGATTTTGAAGAATTATGGCACGAGATTGCACGTCCCCAGATACATGGATACAACATGACTTGTTTAACTATGTTATCACCACATATATATGTTTCTGGAGCGGATGAGAAAGTGGTACGCATTTTCATGGCCACGTCTACATTTAGGGATAAATTAAAATCGCTGGCGAATATCGATGATTTCAAATTTGTAAAGGCCCACAGTGCTGCTGTACCATCTCTAGGATTAACAAATAAAGCCACGTACTGTGGAGACAATGATGAAAATACAAAAAATTTAACGATGGAAAATTCATATGAACCACCTACAGAAGAGGAATTAATGCAAAATACACTTTGGCCAGAAACGAATAAGCTTTATGGACATGGCTATGAAATATTCTGTATAGCGGCGAAACACAACGGACAATTGCTAGCTACAGCATGCAAATCAACTACTCAAGAACACTCGGCAATCTTATTATGGGATACAAATACCTGGTCACAAGTTCAACAATTAAGCTATCATCAATTGACTGTGACGCAAATGGAATTCTCTCCAGATGACAAATATTTATTGTCTGTATCCAGAGACAGAAGATGGTCATTATTTAAAGCTACCAATACAGGTTACGAGTTAATCGCAGCTAGTTTGAAGAAAGACAATCCTCATTCACGAATAATTTGGTGCTGCGCTTGGACGCAAGACTCGAATTATTTCGCGACTGGATCCAGAGACGGAAAAATCGCTATATGGTCCATAAAAACGATAGAAAATAATATTGTACCAAAGATAATTCTGGATATGAAAAATCAATCAGTTACAGCATTATGCTTTGCGCCAAATCCTATCACACAAGATTTTTATCTTCTGGCTATCGGATATGAGGCAGGACACATAGAGATTCAAAGAGTCAATATAGAGTTAGAGAGCGTATGGTCAAAACTATTGGAGTACGATACTTCCCAAGCTCATCATTTAACTGTAAAAAGACTCATGTTTCGACCTATTAATCACTCATATAACAACTTACAACTAGCAAGTTGTAGTAATGACCATTCTGTTAAGATACACAATATAGAACTATCATCGTTATTATCATAATTTTTACAAGAATTTTAGATTTTTACTTCAATTACGTTATTTTTATAAAACTATGAAAATAATCTTGTATAAAATATTTATGTGAAATATAGATTCTAAGTAATCTATAAAAAAAGATCTATGTTCAATTTATTGTTTCAGTTGGCTTACTTACTCGACTTATTTTCCAATTCTGAGTTTTATAAATCTCTACTGTATCTTGATCTACTTCTGTAACTATCACTGCTAATTTCTCACCATTGGGACTAAAATGTAATTTGTCAAAGGAAGATGATTTTATATTTTGTATGTACGATACTGTCTGCTCTTCCAAGTTCCAAATAGACAGTTGAATCTGAAATATTCTTTTGTTTTACATTAGCACACATAAGTCAGATGTCTTTTCTTACAATATATAACACACTTACATTAAAATCTGCTATGGTAAAAATATGTTTACTATCTGGGGACCAGGTAACACCTTGCAAACCTGCACTACCCTCGGTAAGTTTACATTTCCACTGAGGATAGTGTATTGAATATACCTGAACGATAGTTCTTTTTATATTCGCACAAAGAATATATTCGCTATTTGAAGACCATTCCATATACTGCAAGTAGTACAAAGTAATAAAGATAAAAGCATAAATATCAATATATCAATACATAAATAAATAGCATCAAAAATGATGCCAAATTTAATCGAACCATTTTTTCTATCAATACAAGACTAACCTGTATCATATCCATGAATACAAACGATCGACATGTATCGAAAGTCTTTGCATCTTTTATCAGCAGATTCGCTTGAAATGCTATCGCTAGGTACGCTCCATTTCTTGAAAAGTGGCATAAACTATTGTTTACGCGGAAAACTTTGTCCACGTTAACGTTAGTGGCCATTAGGAAAGATTTGAAATCATTTGAAATCTGCGGTTTCCTTGACAACTTGGTCAGTGTCGCCAATCGTAATATTTGTGTTCTAAAAAAGTTATATTTTATTGTAAAAATTTATTAAATCTGTCTTTAATCTGACTTCTGCAAGTGTTTCAGAGATCGAAACATCCAAACGAGAATTGGCAAGAATACGAGTCAATCTAGGTTAAACTAGTTTTGCGCTAATGATCAATTTTGTCCAAAGTTTTTGTCTGCGATTAGCTGCACTTTTTTTTTTTTACTGCAAATGCCGTGTCGTCCAATATGGAGAAGACTTTCAAGTGTGTTCTTTGTAACATTACGTTAAATGTTTGTATTAAAAATAAAAGGGGTACATAATTATCGTCAATGAGAAAAAGGGGAAAGAGCTTAGAAAAGACGCATTTGTGTATCTAAATGATGAAAGAGATTTGTTACTAATTGTAAGCAAAAATTTTTGTAGTTTCCTTGCAGAAATGTCTAATGAACACACTCGCTTCATCCATGATCGGCAGCTGTCAACAGTGTCAACTCTGTCAAACTGAGTGGCGATCCTGGTGGACGTAAACGGTGAAACGGAGCGACTGTCATTAAGAGTGTCGGAATGAGATGGTGCACGTTGCGTGCGGTGTGCAAAGCAGTGGCCAGTCCAAAATAAGATTCCGAACATCCGTCGCGGCGGTGGTTACGTCGGTGACGTCGGTGTTGGTCTACAGTGTGCTGATCTCGGAAGAGGGTGTGATGCCGCGATAACGCGGACGGGCTTCGCTTGCGCAATGATGTGTTCTCGCACTCTTCGCGCTCGGTCGCAGTCACACGTTCTACGCGGAATCCGCTGAGGTAGAACCGGTAGAACCAAACGGCCGATTCGTCGGAGCCCCGGGGTGCAGTGCTGCGATGCCGCTGCATTTCAGCGGACCGAGGATTAACGCGTTGTTGATGAGGCCCACGATTGGTGGGCACGCAATCTTACGCACGTCGATTCGGTGAACAGATATGGGCAAGCAAAGCAGCTCGTGCTGGTGGTGCCTCAAGGCCGTCAAATGGTTGCCAGTGATCTTTATCTTAACGATCGTTGCCTGGTCTTACTATGCCTATGTAGTGCAATTGTGTTACTGTGAGTACCCGGGCTACGATGTTCTCATAGCTTTCCGTTTTGTCTCGCCACCGGTTTTGCTTCAAGTTGCTAACGTCCTCGCCAACTTCGCCATGCCGCTTCAGCTTACGTCATATCATTAAAAACGCGCGCTTTCGGGATATCATCTTTTTTTTCTAATTACGTTTCTTTGTATTTTGCTTAGCGATGATTCTAAACATTTTATTTCTTAGCATGTAGATCTTAATCTGTCTTATTGACATCAAATCTTAATCTTAACAGCGTTAATCTTTTTATGACATTTTTTATATAATCTGTACGATATGCAAAAAATTTCCATTTGATGTTTATGTATATGTTATGTAGTAAATATAAACTTAAAAAGAGAACTGTTTCACAAGTAGAAGTCTTATTTTGAAATCATGCTATAGTATACAATATATGTATAGATATACATACATATATATATATACATATATATATGTATATATGTTTATAGTTAAATTGCAAAATAAAAATCTGCTCTTGAAAGCTTTATACTAACATTGTAATGTATTTGTTTCAGATACGATAGACAATTATGTTCAGAA